ACGAAGTAATTTCAGAATATCTTGATCGGTCGAAATAAGTTAGATACAAAAGTTAATCTTAAAACTCTACAATCAACGCATCTTGTCCTCTATTTTACGTTGATTGTAGAGTTTTGCACTTAACTTTTGTAACTAACTTATGTCGATCATTTTGACCTTCCTACGTTTATTTATTCATTCTTTTAAGTGTTTCTAATGAACGAGTCCATACTTTCCTAAATTTTTTATTGGTCAATTTTTGTCACGATAAGCTACGCACAAAAGTGACAGCGAGTGCTTATAGATTAGCCAGACCGAGACAGACAAGATAAACTTTCTTCCATTCAATGTCACACTACTCATCGTTTAATCTGTCCTCGCAGTTGATGTCGGTTGCTTTGGGGAACAGAAATTAAAAGAAGCTTTTGTTCGCTCTTTGAATAAGGTTTTTACTGAAATTTTTTGCGCAACATATACCTGTGCTATAGGCTCCGTTTTTTGTTACAAAGTATGCAATTTCTGACAAATCACATTCTAGTAAAAAATGTGAATATCGAAGAAGCTTGTTACTATCGATTTTTCACCAAGACAAGTATATACACATAATCACAAATATATGTAGATTCAATTCTTCGTTCACTCTAAGTTTAGGCAAGATGCTATTACTCTATTCTTTTAGTTTTACAGCGTACGTACGCTTTGTTTACACAGATGTATGTACAAGTTTTCTTGACAAAGACTATAGTTACCGGAGCCTAAATAATCAGTAAATTTTGAAGTATTATCATACAGCTTTCAAATACGAAACAGAGTTATACATTGATTAGGCTCATTTCAGATTTTTAATCACTCATTCTTAAATAGAAGTTTTTCAGCGATAGATATGAGTTCGCCATCGCGTCGTCGCCAGCGTTATAATCGGCATTCATCCTCGTCTCCTGATGAGTATCCTGCTGGTATATCAAAACGTATGAAACAATCAACCGATCAATATGATAAAGGTCATCGTCGTGCTAGTGGTGAGCGAGTTTCTGATCAACAACGTCGTTATACATCGATTTGTGTCAAAAATATAAATCCCAAAATTAGTGATAATGAAGTTCGACGTTTATCTGAAAAAAAATTTTCAAAATATGGGCCAAATACAATTAAAATTTATTATAAAAATCATGAACGTGTTGCATTCGTTAATTTTACAAATTGTAGTGATGCTAAACACGCTCGACATGCCAAAAGTGATCTCATATGGGATAATTGGCAATTAATTCTTGAGTAAGTTCTCTCTCAATTTTACGTGTTTATCGGTAAACATATATTTCTTTTTCTCATTTAGACCCGTTTATTATCGTCGGCATCACCCACCTGATCACCCATTGTATGATGAACGTAATAAATATTCTGTGAGCATCCATTTGTTATTTTATATATTTTTTTTGTTTAAAGTCTATGTATTCATACCTCAATCATTAATAATGCACACCGTATTTGGACTCGTTTTAGCCGTCGCGTCCAGCACCAGAACGATCTCAAGCTGCCTTAACTATGCGACATAGTCCAGTTTTTTCAAAACCTCGTTATTCGCCATATAATCATCGTAGCCAACCGTACACACGTACTGCTCCTCCACGTCGATATTCACCTTATATTCCATTACCACCAGAGTTAGATGGTTTTGCAAAAAAAAGTTCACGTCGTCATCGTCGTCGAAGCAGCAGTTCATCGCATCAATCAACAAACAGTAATAACAATAGGAATAATAACAACAATGATAATAATGAAACAAAAATAAACAATGAAGATCGAGACGCTACACGAACAATATTTGTAGGAAATTTAGAGCGTGATATTACAGAAGAACAATTACAAGATGTATTTGATAAATATGGCGTTATCGAAGAAATTGATCTCAAAATCCCCAGTTCATCATCAAAACGTCCATATGCATTTATTCAATATGAAAATCTTGATATGGCTTTTAAAGCAAAATCCCAACAAGATGGAAGGTTAATTGGTAAATCGGAAGCGAGAATTGGTTATGGTATGTAGTGTACTCTATTTAAACATGTTCCTTACAATAAACTAAAAAATAATTCGAGATTCAATTTAGCTAATTGATGAATTTTCTTGAGATGCAGTGTTCACAGACTGTTAAGACTTTTATCTTTTAAAATTTCTATCTGAAAGAATAGCACAGTCAAAGTGTATCCTGTAGTTCGAGTTCGGAGGTACGAGCCGATAGTTGTAATGGTTATTTCATGTAAATTCGTTTTTATTATGCTTACTTGTGCTCAAGGAAGCGTTCTACTATGTGCACCCGTTAAGGTTTCTATAGGTCATCTTCCACGTTTAAAGAACAAACTTGAAAGATCTCTGTTACAGATCGTTGCTGTAGCTTTATGCGTGTTTTTTTATATCGGCCAATATATAGTCTGACCTATACACAATTATGTTTATTTCAATTGTATGTTGGAGGAATAAATCTTAGATTAATTATGGTTCGCAACGATTGTAGTTTTGAATTTCTGTGCTTGATTAAGTGCCAGTTTTTACAGGTTCTCTAATGTATTTATTTTCTATTCACTGTTCTTTTGACGACTTTGTTTATTTTGTTCAATTATTTGTATTCTAGAAATTTTTTTATTGCATAGAATCATTTTAATTGACGCATACATATGAGATGATGATATAAAAGATTGAATTAATAATATGATGTTAGTGATAATGTTTGTTAACCTTTTATGATTAAATGCATCTTGATACACGTATATAGCAGTCTACGTGGGATGTATTTCAAAATAGAAAACAAAAAAGATTCGATGGTTATTGAATACACACATGCCTAATGTTAAGTGATATGTAAATGTTGACATTGATATTTTATGATGCATATAGAAACTGGGCGCTCATAAATTAGGAATATTGAGTTATATTGTGGTAAATAAATAATATTCATTAGTATTTGTGATATGGAAATGAAGTGACAGATAAAAAGGTAGTCACTTTCAAATTAGAATGCACAATTATTAGCTATTATAATCTATGTTTTGTTACAACATCCTGTGTACTTTTACTATTTCTCACCATCTGAATACTATATTCTTCGTTTGCTTATTCAAAAATGTGATCCAACGTGCACGATTGTGTGACAAAAAAAAAGGAAAAATTTGATGTAAACAGATTCTTCAGGTAGTCATATTTATAGATGAAGAAGTAGGAGAATTCGTCAAATCATTCTTACTACTAACAGGTGACAAGTATGGAAAACCTGTTATCTTTTTCCTACAACTTATATTTTTTCGCTTAAAGAATTACAGTCTATAGCGTTGACTCCAGCAGACCACTTTGTAGGTATCAAACTACGAGACTAAAGGGTATTGTTCCAGACAGATATTCACCGATAAGAGAAGGGCTCAATTTAGCTGACATTTGTGAAAATTATCAAATTCGGTTTTAGATATCTCTAAACTGTTTTGTGATGTGAATTTTTCTTTATAAAAATTGTTTTTTCCAATAAAATTTTGTTTCCTCGAAAAACATAGAGCTGAAAGGAATGTCTGTTCGTTGACGTATTCAGGATTACTATCAACTCTTTTTTTGCTTCGAGCAACTCTTCAAAGTTCTGTGGATCACTTCCTTGAATGTTTCTTTTTTGTGAGTCGCAACTACATAGCTTTTTGTAAAGAGTTAATCAGTAACAAACTAACGTTACATAAATAAAATCCTAAAATTAAGAACAGTTTTTTTGAGGCGATGACCAGTTGATTCAAACTGCTACAACTCAAGTTTCCAACTTTCGTTTTTAGTAAACATAAATTTTAGTTGCTGTATTATTGGCAACCCGATCGATTTGTCAGAAATTAGTAAGAAATTCATATTGTTTAGACTATTCTATTGAATGAATCCGGCACTACATTATTAATATTGATCCTTGGTGTAATTTTTATAATTAAAACTTTTCTCTGCCTTTCTAGGTAAAGTTGTTCCAACAACATGTTTATGGGTTGGTAATTTACATCCTCAGTTGAAAAAACGTGATTTAGAACGTGAATTTGCACACTATGGTCAAATTAAATCAATCGAATTTAATACGGGTGACAAACAAGCCTATATTGTCTACAATGACGTGGAAGACGCTATTAAAGCTCGCGGAAAACTACTTGGCTCAACAAAGTTAACACCTACGGCTAAAAGAGAGCGCGGTTCACGATCAGGTTCATCAACATCATTAACACGTTCACCTTCCCGTTATCGATTGCGTATAGATTATCATGAATCAAGTTCTTCACATCGTTCAGTAGTTAGTAGCAAAAAGCCATCGCATCGACATCAATCTGCAACTGATAATGCTTCAAAACAAAAACGATCACCATCCTCCGCTTCCGCTGCTTCACATGTTTCTTCATCAAAAGGTTCCAAAGGACCAATTGAACGCGTCCGATCCATCACCCCACGTCAACGTTCCACAGCATCACGATCACCTATTTCCTCATCAAATGAAGAACAACAAGATATCAAGCAAGAAATTAAAGATGAATCGACGTCACCACTTAAACGTCATCATTCTTCTTCACCATCTCCAACCAAACGTCAACGAAACAAACGAGAACGATCGTCATCACCCGGTCGAACATTTTATGGACCATTTGGTACTTACATATCTCCTCGTGCTACAAATAGTCTGACAAAAATGAATGACTTGATCGTATTATGTGAACAATTAAATAATGAATTAGTAAAATCAACAAAATCATTGTCAACGGTTTATCCTGTACAATTTTTACTTAAATCATGTCATTATGATGCAAGAATGCATTTCATAGCTGGAAATCCACAGTTTTGTGTCAATGTTTTAGGCAAGTCGATATGACTTGGCTCATATATCATAGCTCACGAATAAAATTCACTTTTTCTTTTGTAGGCCAACCAGGAGACTTGGTGGCAGCAAAAACCGAATTAAAAGTTACGCAACGTCTACGTTTAGATCCAGCTAAACTAGGTTTGTTTCCTTTCGTTCTGATCATCTGACGATTTTGATTACACTCATTATTTTAATTCTTTTAGATGATTTGGAAAGTAAACTTCGTTCAAATTTATGTGGTTCAAGTAAAAGTAATACAAGTGTCAATGAAACAACATTAGCACGAAAACCATCTCCATCAACAACAAATTTTGCCATTCTTATATCATCACCGCGAAAAACAAGGACAAATTATGGTAATGGTGAAACTGAACCTTCATTATCATCGCCTATACGTAAGTTATTTATACGATCAATACACGCAGCATTTTCAGACGATAATTGACATCGTATTTACATAAATATTGTAGGTGAAGATAATGAAGAAAAACCACTATCATCTGATCTAGACGAAGAAAAATCATTATCATTGCTAATATCGTATTTAGCAACGAAAGAAGCAGCCGGCGTTGTGAGTTATGCTTTTACTTTGTCAACTAGCATGCACTATTTGTATTCTATTTAGATTCCCATACAATACCATCCGTCGACCTCCACACTTCAACAACAATCGAAAGATCAAACAGCTGTTTTACATGCGTTTCCACCATGTAGTTTTACTAAAAAACTATTAAAAGAATTATGTCCATCAATATCATTTGGCGGCAATAATGCGGGTCCATCGACTCCGCCATCTGAAGACGATGAATACGTAAATGATGAACATTTACTCGTTGTCATTGTTAAAAACGATTAAATTATTTCCAAGATCTTTATTATCATCGAACAGTAGAAAGCGTCAAACTGTGATGCCAATTTTTTTTCTGTTGTTGATGTTCTTGCTCTTTGCTGTCGAAAGATTCCTTCTCTTGTTGTTCTGTGCATGTATTAGAGAAAGAGCGGCACGGACATGTGATTCTGCTGTTGGAGGGCTATTCCATCTCGAAATTCTAGTATTTTGTTCGTTTTAACGAATACGTTCCGATTATCTTGTTTAATTCGGAAAGGTTTGCTCTACAATTCTAGATGTTGCGAAGCTCTGGTCGTTCTTTTGTTAAAAACTATAAAATGAACAAAATGTCAGAATTTCGTTGCAGCACATCACTTTGTTAGTAAAAGCTACGTGCTCGCACCGAGTGTCTGTTCACCGTTTGATTCAGGTTTGGGCTAATGTGTGCATTAATTCTCCCACAACATGCATGATTCTATTTACATGTCTTTTTCTATGGGCATGCGTCTTCTGTAATTGTCTGTTTCTTATATATATGAACTATGTTTTGTACGTGCTTTGTGTTCCTCATTTTTCATAAGTGCTTACTTTTGTTTTTTTGGTGTGTATTTCGATTTTTCGAACTTCTCTTTTTTTCTTGCTTTATTGTTTAGTCATGAAAGAATAAATACAACATAAACAGGCGGTCATTTTTATAATGAAAAACTGTGGCTATATCTAAAACGATAGAGAGTTAACGTGACGTATTGAATGATTTTTGGTTATATTTCAGATAAATATCTTGGCAACAATTATGTCTGTCAATGTTTCTCGTAAGTGGAATTGAATTCGTTTTTTTGTTCTTCCATTAGTAGACGCATCTAAACTACATATCATTTGCTACAGTAATCTCAAACTGAAAAGTATATTCTGCGGTAGCAATTTCAAAAGATTATCTTTACAAAAAAGTTCATTATCAATACTGATTGCTCACGCCAGTACGAATGATCCATGACAAAATAGTATTCATCAATATCCTATTTGCTGAATTGAAAGTAGTTCTTTAATTGATGTAGTTCAACCAGATACTTTTGGTTCCAAATCAGCGACGATGACGAGTACTGTACTTGATGATATGAATATGTTCAATGATATTATATCTCAATTTAAAGTTTATGTTGATGAGAAAGGTAAGAACGTTAGACTCATCAGTAGAACTTCTTTTACAACAATATTGTTTCTTTTTTTCTTTAGAATGGAATGAGTTGCCTGAGCAATTGAATCGTTTATTATCTATTTTGAGATATATTATTGAAACTTACCGTTTAATTGATTCGGCTGCCGTTCTGGAGTATGCCGCTCAGCTGATAGATCTATTCAAAGGTAGAAATAGCTAATGTTATCGTTATTATTGATAAATCATATAATCTTTATTTTAGATGTTAATCAAACAGAGTATAATGATTCCCAGCCATTTTATACAGTTATTGATCAATTAGCTTTATGTTTTACTGCTAAGTAAGTTGTCGAGATGAATATTTTTGTATTTTCTCTCTACTAATTTGTCTATCGAACCATTTAAAGAATGTCCGAATGTTTTGCAACAATGGAGAATAACCATGATATGATGTCGATACAAAATTCCAATACAAATCAACATCATCCAAACGACGAAACATTAATGATCAATATCTTGATTAATTATCCAAACGGTGTTGATATTGCACAACAACATTCACATTTATTATCGAAATATCTTGGAAATTTAATACAGTATGTTGATAAAAGATCAAATTACGAATTAGAATATACAAAACAAATAGTGAACTTGATTAAAGATTTTAAACAAATTAATATTGAACACAAAGATTACTTGCCAGGAATCAATTTATTAACAAATACATTTGAACATGAATTAATTAATTATAATACAATGCAGTCCACATGGCTCATTTTACAGACAGACAAATTTGTTGAGGTAACTACATTCATTTGTGTATGTGCATTTGCTATTATTTTATTGCTGTTTTTTTTTTGCTATTTTTAAGAAACTCACTAATTGGCGAAATTATCATGATAGTATAAGAAAAACGGTTAACTTACAATGGGAGAAAATTCTAAAACAGTTTGTAAGTTCTATGCCTTTAGTTACATTTTCTAACTTAAAAAATATAAATGTTTTTTTAGCAAGATTCATTGAATGTAATGAAAAAAGCTCGTGCGGTTTATTTTGATCGTCAAGATGAATATGATCGTTGTAAAGAAACAAATAACAATCAATTATTTCATTCTTCTTCTTCATCATCATCCTCATCTGAACATTCAAAACAAATAGCCGCCAATCATCTTTCAATTGTATCTCCATCACCCTTACATTTACATCGTACAGTTTCATCGCCACCAACATTACCTGCGAACGATGATTTGAAACGTCGAGAAAAAGACATACTTGAGAAAGATTTACGAACAAAATTATATGACTCAGAAATGTATCTAAAATCGTGTCTCACTGATTTAAATACGAAACGTAGTGAAGTATTGAATACGAAATATGACTCAATAACTACATTAAATAAATTGATTATTAATACAGAAAATGTAATTAATCATGTATTGTACGATTATTTTGATATGTTATATGCATTGTATACTCAATTACCAAAGCCATATGAAAGTGATATACTCAAATTCATCGATCAAAATAAACAATCTTATTTAGTATATTTGAAAAATCTTCCATTATCATCTTCAGAACATGATTATCTTCACTATGAGAATTATATATCCTTACCACAGTCTCTAATTGTGGGAGATGAACAAATAAAATCCACTCAATCATATCAAGAATGTGATGAATTTGTTCGACAACAAAAATCAAAAACTATAGAGAATAATTGTACAACAGCTTATTTACCGAGTATTGTTCAACAATGTTGTTCAGCTATTGAAAAAATGAGTGGACAATACATTAAAGGTTAGAATAATTTTTAGTTTAGATAGTTTTTATTTAGAAAAATTTTCATTTGTTTGTTCTTCTGTTTTTTTTTAAAGGTATTTATCGTATATCTAGTGTTAAATCTAAAGTTGATCAACTATGTCGAGAACTTCGTAACGGAAAATTAATAAGTGAAAATGAATTAATAAATGATTATTCACCAAATGTATTAGCTAATGTTATTAAAAAATGCTTACGTGAATTATCAAGTCCACTCTTGTTATTGGGAAAAGATAAATCGATCGATTGTTATTCATTATATAAAGATTTCATGAGTGTTGCGAAAGAGTTATACACTTTCAATGATAGTACTAATAGTAATATTACTAGTCTAGTAGAAAAATTAGAAAAAATCATTCATGAACGTTTATCCGATGATGCACGGTTAACTCTGCATTGTTTACTCAAACATCTAAAATATATTTCATCATACGAAGATGAAAATCAAATGTCAACATCAAATTTAGGAATTATATTTGGTCCAACATTGTTCAAAACTGAAAATTTGTATGTTATAAATATAATTATTATCTCAAGTTTTGGATTAGTTTTTTTACTTTATTTTAGAACTGAAGATGATACAATTTCAACGTTGCTTGATGCACCTTATCAAGCAAAATTGGTTGAATTTTTAATTGATAATGTTGAGGTAAACATGTAAAATTACTATTTTTACGCTCTATAATTACCTTCATATTTAGGAGTTATATCAAAATGTTGATGAACAACATAAACAAGTGGACTCATCAAATTCTCAATAAGAAAACAATGTGGATTGATAAATAATCTTCTTTTTTTTTTAGTCTAATCTCATGAATAGTCACGACTACGCACATTTTTTAAATTATTAACATAAAGCTAGTCCTTTTTATTTTATTGAATATATAAAATTAATATTTTTATGACTATAAATGATTTTATTTATTATGTATTTAATATTTCTTTTACTCATATTTTATTTGTGATGCTGACATTTTTGAGTGTCAGAGACTTCCTTCTTCAAGTCAATAAATGAATGTCACAACGAGAGAAGAAACGAGCAACGATTAATATATAATATACATTACAACGATGTATTTTACTCACAAAACACAGCAGAAACAGGAAAACAAAGGCTATTAAAAAAGTATGTTTGGTTTTTTTTTCCTTCTCATTGTGACATTCATTTATTGACTTGAAGAAGGATGACTTTGGAAATCCAAAACGTCGGTATTAAAAATAAAATATTAGAGAGTAAAACAGATATTAAATAAACAATAAATAAGACAATTTATTTTTTATTTTTAACCTTTTCTCCTTTCTCTTTTTTGTTTTGTTCGTATTTTCGAACTGTACATTTTGCTACTTTATAAATCTTACATGTTTACCTATTGACAACAAATTTGTCTTATACATCTTGTCATTTTACAGTGTAGTCTTTTTGAGCATCCCTCTATTTTTCTTCTAGTCGCTCGTGTTTTATGTGCTTCTACTTATACAGTGCAATATCAAATTACAACTTATAAATAAAAATATAAAAAATTTAAAACACTTGTGGCCTATGTCAATATTTTTTCAACCGTAGACACGTCTGAAAACACGTTTTATGTTGCGTTGCCTTTAATCGCTTCGAAAATGCACCGTTTCCTAGCGCTTAAATGCATTTTCTTTTTATTTAAAAAAGATACTTTTAAAAAGTTTTCTTACTTTTTAATTTTGATTTTAATTCTTAACGAGGACTTCATTGTCTTTCAGTCAGTATAGTGTCGATATGAGAAAAACTTGACTTACTAGAAAGAAGTGTATGTTATATGACAATGCTGTCGACATGATTTCGATCGTGGTGCTTTGTTAATGTGTACAAAGACGAATAAAATACATAAAAATTTAAGAATAGTTGTGGTCAACATCTTAAGAATTTTAATAAAACCAACAATTAAAATTACAAATCGATATTTTGACTTATTAATACGGTCATTTTCAAGTTGCTTTTCGTACAGAATATTACATAACTGGCCGCAACTATTCTTAACGTTGCCCATTGATTCACAAAATGTTATTAAAATAAAACACATATTCATCTAAAAATACTGCTCTTAAATCGAACAGCGGTAAAGCAGATTATCAAAGAAGCATGATACATTTTTCGTCATGTATTGTTACAGACGAGGACTTTTATGAATAGCAAACCGACATCTGTTCAGGGGTCAGTTTCTTAAAAAAACTTAAGTATAAGTTTCTGTTTACTATGTGAAATTTTTCACTTAAGTAAAACGTTTTTTTTGAGAAACAGGCCCCAAAGTCGAAAAAAGTTGATAGTTAGGTAGCACATTTCATCAAAACGCTTTAACGTAACTTATTTGCTTTCAAATTTCGTCAAACTATGCACTGAAAAATGTTTAAAAAATTGAATTTCAGCAGATATTACAATACCAATAAAAGTTATTTGATTATGTGCAAGGTTTCTTTCTGTCAGGGGTCGTCGCGGGCGGGATGGGACGAAAATTTCCTCCTACAGAAAAATATTTTCATCTTGTCCCATCCCATCTGATAAGTATTCAAAAATTTCCGTCCCATGAGAACCCACAGGATCCTATTAAAATGTTTTTTCTCAGAAACTATTTTTTGTTAAGCGGAGTTTCTGCGACAGTTGTTTTTCTGTTTCGAGGTATGTAACTGAAATGATAAGCTACCCACTAACAAAACAAAGTAGGAAAAGGACAAATGACATCTGTCATTCTGAACTATTTATCTTTTCTCAGAAAATATCACGCACTAAGAGAATGAGACGAGATTACGAACCAAGTTATGTGACCAACTGCGTGAAATATAACAAGCCAGCTGACCGGCACATGACAACTCGAACTTAGTTCATAATTGAATCTAAAAAATTCAGCAATACAACAGACTAATGGATGAAATTTTTGTCCCGTCCTATACATAGTTTGAACACTTTCATCCTATCTCGTCCCGTCCTACGGCTTGTTTATATTATCCTGTCTTGTCTCACGGATACTTTAAAAGTTTCATCTCGTCTCATAGTATCCCATGACGACCCCTAGTCTATAACTGCATTTACGTTGGCGAAACCATGAAAACCAGAAATGTCCGGAAAAGGATAATCGTTAAAGCTTATAGCGCCTCGAAATATTAGGTTATGACTGGTTCGCTTTTAGAAGCTTCTTTGTTTATTTATTTATTCAGGTAAAATTTGATAACTGTTTTAAAATATGCCAAGGTCTAGTCGCAGTTAGAGTTCGCCTTTTTTGAGGAAATTAACTAGAACCTAATTATATGAAAACCACTAGTTTTAAAACAGTTTCTATGAGCAAAATAGAATTTTCCCGGTCGTTACTCTATGTTTTCTTTTTTTCAAAAAATTTTCACGCCGTTGTATTCACCGCAACTTTACTGTGTGGCAAGCCGACCTCAGATGATAAGTTTAGACCGGTTAAAGCAGTAATTCCCGTAAAAGATGTTATCTCAATTTTTGTGAAAAAAATTGAATATAGATATTAATAAAAATTTTCATCGGCTGTTGTTTTTGATTGAAAACTGTCAGACGTTTCTAAGCGCGTCGTGCTGTGACGCATTTTAACGCGTTAGAGAAAATGTTCAAGCTAGTGTTATCACTTCTTCACCTGAAGTTTGGTACGCCTAAAATCATCACAAAATTTTCATTTTAATCGCTCCGCTTGTTGTTTTGTATGTACAGTGCAAAACTGTATTCGAAGTGAATATATTAACTTACTTTCCGGTGAAAGAGGAAAATATTTCTCTTAAACACATGGGTTATTGAGTGGTTGGTCTTGCAAAAATAATATATCTTTTACCAGTAAGTCAGTGCTTACTGTTGTTATATATTTTGTAATCCAGAACCTGCTTTGTCTAACTGAAGAAGGAGCAAACGGGCACGATGCTTCTGAAATGAAATAAGCAAAAAAAGGAAAAAATGTTTGCCTCACCTATTAGAGACATCTTCCTGTTTTATGTCTTTCTGTAATAGTTTAGTCGGCTCATGAATAAAGAGAAGAATGGCTGCGTTTAACCAATCATCAATGAGCTAGAAAAATTTTACAATCTATTTGTTTTTTTTTTCTTCGATGCGATATCATATACAATACTACTTGAACTATATATTGCTTCTAGATTATCGAAACAATTGCTTGGTAATAAACAAAAGCCTTATATATGATAGTTTAGTCACATAATCATTCCATTCGAAAACAAGCAGGTTTGCGTAGTTCTTTACGTCCGAGTATTTTTACGATAAATGGAAAGAGAATGGGACACGTCCTTAATATGTGTCTGGTATAGAAATTTTAGTTTCGTCGCTGGGGTCGTCGATTGATATTTTGAAAATTTTGCGCCACCTATCGCACATATTTTGGTGATTTTCATTACAAAGTTCAGAATTCTTGTGTGATAAGGATACATTTTTTTTCGATAGGCCCAGGATTTGCAGTATTTCTAATAATTGGTGGTCTTGTGAGAGTAAAGTGTTCTTCGATCTAGGAAACGCTGATTTTCAGTCTGTTCTTCACTCTGATCTCTACTATAAGAACCAGCATAGATTCAATTGAGGGTTAAAAAGCTGAGAGAGGTCCATGTTTCAGAACGCAATCCAAAAACAGTTTCACAAACTCTGAAACTTTGGGTTGAACCACTTCATCTACTTTGCTCATTAAAGACACTGATGGTTTAAGTGAAAGACGATATATCTCGGCATTTGATTGTTTTCGGTCAGAAATGACAATTTATATTGTTTCTCATATTCTAAATTTAGTATCAGTCAATATACTGGAAATCTTTCGATATGATTTAGCTGTAAATGGACTGTTCTTGAAGTGCAACAATGTGTACCACCAAATCTCAGCTAGAACTGCTCCTTTGTTAAGCTGAATAACATGACTGTCTGTCCATAAAGTTTCTGCTACTTAGAACTGCGAGACATAACGGGTGAGGGTAAAAGAAACTGATCTCTCAACATTCTGAAGTTTCTCAAGCAATTCTCACGTTCTAAAATCCAGCTGTTTTTTGCAAAAGGTTCACTATTTAGTTCTCTACAAAATGGTATGTAGAAGATGATCCTAAGACTCGAGATGCCGTCTTAATTGAACAGAAATCGAAATGCCTCAAAACTTTGCCGCAAATTTTCGTCAACGACGATTTTGAATTTTGAAACCAATCACAATGTTCAAAGTGACAGAAAAAGATCTCACTCAACTCAGCCAAAAAATTAACAAAATGGTAGTATCAGCGTTTCAACCGTACTGGTAAACCGATATCCCAATACTTTTCACTTTTCTTTAAACCGTAGAACAGATTAATTGTATTTGATACAACTTGGAGGAAAAACGTAATTTGACATCGTTTATTCATTAATTTACCCTTTATCATCTCAAGCCTTTTCAGTGTATGAAGGCAATATTGACTCATATGTTTTCCAACACAGAATATATCTCTATATCTATAATATATATCTATTTATATATTCATGAATAATTATCGGCACCACGCAATTTCTCATGTTTGTTAATGTAACTTTGAATCATTTTCTTTTTCCATTCAACTTGTATACGGCCGAGATTGATGATTTTCTCCTTTTGTACGTTTATAATACACGTTTAATAGCACATTTAATTTTTTTTGAACGTGTTCTTAAGATGAAGGAATAAGATAAAGATTGCTTTCTAATGAAAATAGAGTAAGTGATAGTTTAAGAATAGTGTCGGATGGTATATGGGGAAAACTGTGTTATCGTGAACGTCTGAATTCAAAGCGAGTTGATTAAAATCAATAGTAAAGTCTTGTTAATTGAACCAGGATTCTCATAAAGATTTAGTTATTACTTCCTAAGCATCTATCAAACATAAATAAAGAAAAATGCAGTTATTTTGAACAAAATCTCCATAAAGAGTTAATCAAACTGTTTCTTTTTGTTATATAACTGCCCGAGTTTAGGTGTTTAGTATCTTATATGAATAAAAATTTGATGATTTAGTATTCATTTACTTTCATTTCATTACACATGGTTTTTGTTTTATTTTCTTTCGATTACTTCACGCACCTAATCAGTATAATATAGACGTAAAGAGAACGGAAGAAATAAATAAATATTATTAAATAATCGTACGAAAATATATATCAACATCATCTATTCTGTTCACCTTGTCAAATGAAACTGTATGTTCATTTATTTAACTATGGATCTTTTCCGCTATACATAATTCAGACTAAAAAAACAAAATAGGTGACGAGCCATTCTGACATTTAAACAAATCTATTAACTAATGATAGTACGTTCTTTTTAGATTTGAAAACCTTTCTCCTTACACATATGAAATTTAAAATGATCTAATTCAAGAGAAATTTCATTTTCCATTCTCTCTCTATTATATTTAAATGGTCAATTTAACTGATAATTCGATATTGATATGTTATTGTTTACTAATCTATTATTATTTTGCAATAGCATCATCGTTCATACTCACAGATAAACCAAATACAATCGTTATTGAAGTTAATGGCGATTGTCTAACGGTTGGAGCATATGTTGCTCATCTTCATGGATATCGTGTTGTTAGAGAAGTGAGTCTTCGTATTACTGTGGTGGTTTCTTCACAAATATTACTTTTATTTGTTTGGTGTTAGATATTTCCAAGTTTTTGTGAAGTGGAAGAAAATCCATTATCCGAACATCACCAAAGACATAGACGTGCAGTTTTAAACGGTGAAGACCCAGTTGATATTCTTCAAAGACATAAAGATGTAAGAAGGCAGTGAGTATTTATTCAAATACTATTTTAATTTAATCTATCATTAAGATTTCTTGGGCTGAACATCAAGTACGGAAAATTCGACAAAAACGTGAATATGTGTGGAATGATCCCCAGTGGCCACGCATGTGGTATCTTGTAAGTTTTGATCTTATTCTTTTTTTATTCTCACATATGTTTGAATATTAAATAATTTTTTTATAGCAACGTAATGAGCATACTGTATCACTTCCAGATCTAAATGTAACTGGTGCCTGGCTACTGGGTTATACAGGCCATGGTAGTGTTGTAACATTTTTAGATGACGGATTAGAATATGATCATCCCGATTTGAAAGCAAATTATGTAAGTTTTATGAATTACAGCATTGTCTAAAAAAAATAATATTTCGTTTTTCTTGACATTTAGGATGAAGAGGCTAGTTATGATATCAATGATAATGATGCAGATCCAAGTCCTCGATACGATCCATCGAATGAAAACAAGTATGATCTTAAATATTAATGGTAGATTATTTAACATTATCTTTTCTTTTTGTTTTAGACATGGAACTCGTTGTGCCGGTGAAGTAGCGGCGATGGTCAACAATAGTATTTGTGGCGTGGGCGCCGCTTATCATGCGAAAGTGGGAGGTATGTGTTACATTGTATTTAAAATGCCCCGAATGACATTTTCAGCAATAGAGAAGTTTTTCCATTTCTATCGTTCACAGGTATACGTATGTTAGATGGTGATGTAACGGACAGCGTTGAAGCACGTTCATTAAGTCATAGACCCGATCATGTTGACATATATTCAGCTAGTTGGTAAATAAATGACAAAACTCTACTGCAGATAATGTCGAAAAATAAAATTTCTGATTTTGAATTGTTCAGGGGTCCAGATGATAATGGTGTTGTTGTTGATGGTCCTGGTCGTTTGGCAAAAAAAGCATTTGAAGATGGAGCACAAAAAGTATGTGAATTGATCTTTCAGTAGAAGTTATTTATTTTTGATTTTGTATAGGGACGCGGTGGAAAAGGTTCCATATTTGTTTGGGCCAGTGGCAATGGTGGAAGACAGTTTGATTCATGCGCTTGTGATGGATACATTAATTCAATATATACGGTTCGTTGTTCTTGGTATCTAATTTGCACCTTCTGTATAAAGTGCGTGATAAAAGTTTAAAGTACTTACACCCAAAGAGACTTTGTTGTATGAATCAAAGGGTTTAAGAATAATTGAACATTTATGGATGATAATGAGGTTCAGACGTATTCTCTGAAGACAAAACTGTTGAAGAATAGCTCTTTGATATACAGCTTATTTCAAAATCGATATGGTGACGTTTTTGATAACATTAAAGTCTGAGTATTCGTCAAACGAGGATGAAGATTTTAGTATTTCATGTGACAGAGTCCTAAAAAACACTAAACAAAATTCCTTTTAGTTCAGATTATCTCAGTTTTTGACATTTTTCAAGAGAAATACTTCTATCAGGGATACTACAGATTAAAAACCACTACTAATTTCACTTCTAAAATTTGGTCCATCTTTTATCTCGAAGAAGAAAATCTGTTTTTCGAAATCAAATGTTAATGAGTTTTGACTATCGAACAATCGAATTTTTTCTAACATGAGTCTTCATTTTTCTGCCTAACAGTTCTTCGTTTAGCATTGAAATACTAATAAGACTAAGATACTAATTGAGCTTGATTCGTGAAACTAAGTCGATTTTGTTTCAAAGGCCTTAAACTTTCACTTCTGAAGAAAAAATGTTTTTCGTATATTGATTGCTGTTGGTTTCTGAAAGCTACTGCTATATAATCTCAGTTAGTACTGTTCATTGTTACTCATATTAAATAATAAATAAATAAATAAATGATCTATAGCTTAGAAAGAAAATGGAAACACCTGAAAACAAGTTCTTTAAACTGCTATTCTCACTTTACTGTTTTATCAAAATGGTTTTATAGATTTCAATAAGTGCAACAACTGAACGAGGCGAAAAACCATGGTATTTAGAAGAATGCTCAGCTACACTGGCTTCTGCGTATTCGAGTGGAAACGTGGGTGGTGTTGAACACGACATTGTACGTTTTTTATCTTTATTTATTCTATTGTTTGTATAATTTTTTTATTTGTATCTTTTAGCTTACAACTGATTTAAGACACGAATGTACAGGTATGGAAATATATTATGCATGTCAGAATATTGTTGATCTTATTGCTATTATAATTTATCTACAGAAAAACATACGGGTACATCTGCTGCGGCTCCGTTAGCTGCTGCTATCATAGCACTTGCACTCGAAGCAAAGTATGGTATTGTTAAAAATGTATTTACCTCTGATATAATATATCTGTTTGTTGTAGTCCTAACTTGACTTGGCGTGATGTTATGCACCTTGTCGTTTTATCATCCAGACCATTGGCTATACCATCGAATAAAGATTATGTAACAAATGCTGTTGGTTTTAATGGTAAGTTATTGTGTTCTACCTCTGAGATTTTTAACACCAAGTATGTTTTTAGTCAGTAGCAAATTTGGTTTTGGTTTAATGGATGCTGGCTTAATGACATGGTATGCTGAAAAATGGATTAATGTACCACCAATGGTATCTTGCTCATCGGTACCAGTAGAACCCAGTTTATATGTGGCTCCTAATCAACAAAATTTTTTCGAAGTTAATGTATTAAATTGTAAAAATAGTGATGCAACACAAGAAGTAAATTTCATCGAACAAGTTCAAATATTTGTCAGTTTATCGGCAGACAGGCGTGGTGATATCGAGTTATATTTATATTCACCATCAGGAACGAAATCTCAATTGTTACCGGTAAAAAGGCAAAGAGAAATCCGAGTTAGAAAATAATCGAATATGTTGTGTTTTGTAACTGTTGTAGCGCAGACAAAAAGATTCAAGCAACAAAGGTTTTCAAGACTGGCCATTTCTCACCGTACAAGTGTGGGGCGAATCACCACACGGATTGTGGAAACTAGAAGTGGTGAACACAGGCTCAGGTTCAGGTAACATATATCGATAGTTTCAATTAGTTCAAGGTTATCTTTTCTTATAATAAGCATTCAAAACTGAGCATATTTCTTTCTTTTACGAATTTTAGCTCGTTTAATATCATGGCGTTTAGTTATTCATGGCACGAAAGAATATCCGTGGCTATCCCGTTCTACCACATTATCTCCACTATCATCTGATGGTCTTCCTCACAGTGTAAGTGTTATTATTGATTCACAATCTTCATCATCCGTGATATCCACATTTTTATTTTCCTATTCTTTATTCTTAATATTAATTGCATATATGTCTTTTTAATATGTCTAACTTCCGTTATTTTTTCTTTAAAGTGATAATGTGATAATTTTTTATTTTCATTTTTACAAAATATGATTTTTTTATTTGTATTTTTTATTATCTTTGAGCTAATCTAAATGTCTATTTTTGTTTTTTCAAATAAGTTATGGTGCTTCTTTCTTATCTTCCTTAATCTCTTCCGTTCTTTAACTGCTTCACTTTTTTCCCCCCCGTAGCTATGCACATCTATGTTTCTTTTATTATAGAAACCTAAAATTGTTTCTCAAACTGTTAATGCTGCTGCTGTACAATCATCTTTTGTTTCTGCTTCATCACCATTGTCTGCTTTTTCATCATATTCATTACCAATCAACGATTTCATACGACAAAAACAAATTAGTGGAAGAAATGGCTATTATCATTATATACCTTATGGAAGTGCTACTAATTATTTAAAATATCTTTTTTCTCATTCAAAATATCCTAACTATTATCATAATATTTTTCAACGTTTCAAAAAGAAATGAATGCTTTTGAAACAGTGATATATTTGATTTTTTTTTGAAGTATTTTATTTTTTACTATTTCTGAATTGATTTATTTTTTTGCTCAGGTTCTCAATGGTAATAATCTAAAACATGTATTCTAATATCATTTTTCTTGTATACGATCTTATTTATGTTTTTTCTTCAACATTTGACTTACTTGGTTATTAGGATCACGTGTTTTGGGTTTAGTAGAAAACAATCAAAAAAGGTATCGCTCACTACGCTCAGTCAGATGCTTTAAAATATTCGATTTTTGATTTTCGTCCAATTAAAAAGCTTTGTTTTTTTGAAATTATTTGGACAGTCAGTGATTATATTTTCTCGCGTTAACTTGTTTATTTGAATGAACAGTAATTTGTCGGATATATCATTTTTGTTAAAAAATTTATTTTTGTCGTCATTCATGTGCAATACTATTGTGATTATTATCGTGCAGTAAGCTACTTATTGACTAAAACTATATCTGTTCTTTCCCTTACTCTTTATAAGGTAATTCATTCTGCATTTTTATGGGATTTTTAAGTTTATCTGTGTGATGTAAGATGAACGTGTTTTATTTTACTGTTGATCATTTTATTTTGTTAAAATAAAACAGCTTATTTCTCTGTGTATATTTGTGTTTTGTTTTTTGTGTGCAAGAAAGTGCAATTGAAGATAATGAAACACGTTTTAGAAAGCGAAATATTTTGTTAAACTTATAGAAAATGTAAACCGTTTAAATACATCTTTTTTGATTTATTTAGAAATCTATAAGAAAAGTCAGCGAGGTAAAGTTGAAAGTGTCACTTTGTGTCCATGAAATAAAAAGACATTTTGCTTATTGTGAATGTTGATGTTGATGTTGACGTTGTTGTTGTTGTAAGAGTCTTTGTGTTCTCACTATTCGTGACATGAATGTAGTATTAATGCTGTCGCATTGACATTATTTATATTGTAGCTTATTATCAATTACACATAGAACGCAGTGTTTCACTGAAAACTTACTATCTCTGAAAAATAAAAATTTGCTCATCCTATTACTGGTCGAATCAAAAATTTACTGTAGATTTTGACAAATAACCAATTCAATTAGCCCTTAATTCTATTATTACTGTGTTCTCATTTTCTTTTCTTCAATTAGGAGTAAAATGTTGCAAAGATTGATAGTTGAAGATATTACAGGCGATAACTCTATCATATCACAGTTATCAGTGGAGTATGCCAGCACAGCTCTTTCAATGCTTTGTTAATCGAGGCTTTAAATATACTGATGCTATAATTTCACCATACTCCACTAAATTATTTAAGAGGATATTTCTCCGTATGCGTATGTTCAAGTTTTAAGAAAATAAGTATGTTTATAAAGTGATATGTTTCTTCAATTTCTATTTTCACACGTACTAAATTGTTCTTGCTCTAATATATAGGGTTATAAAACTGATGATAGAGAATATATCTTTGGTGCAAGCTTTAGATAATAATCACACCAATTATTTTCTAACCGATCGCAATTTTGGGAGTAATTTTATCATCTAAGTTGAGCTATGAACGCTGCTGTTGATGTACTTTTAATCAAAACGTTTCTATTTAGTAGTAGTTGATAGCTGTTTTTTATATTAGTGTGTTTTTGCCTTTGAATTTGCTTTATTTATTTATCTATCTACCTATCTATACAAATCCTATCTCTCGATATATATATATATATATTGATCACTTATTCATTTTCTCTTTTCCTCTAATTTGTTTATAAATAGTTACAGAACTCGTTTCTTTTGTTCAGTGCCACCCTGAGTGTAAGTCTGATTTGCAACCTTGCGGTCCATCGGAATTGGATTGTGTTGATTGTCGTCATTACAAGCAAATATTACCAGATCAAAAATTGTGAGTTGCAACTGTTATATCTTATATCTATAATATTAGGATTTTTTTCATTTTTAAGTCGGTGTCTAGCAGTATGTCCTGATGATACCTATCCATCATCCAATACAACATGTTTGCCCTGTCATACAAATTGTGCGACATGCCGTAGTTCATCGGAAACAAGCTGTATCAGTTGCAAAGTGGACAAATATCTAGTTCATGATACAATGACATGTATTCAAACATGTCCAGAAGCATATTATATTGGTATTTAATTCGTAGTAGTAGAATATTTAGAAAATAGCGGCTAACAGACTTCTTTCTTTAGATAAAAAATTAAGAAAATGTGTTCGCTGCAAATCAGATTGTTTATCGTGTGATAATGAACCATCACAATGTACCTCATGTAGCGATGGTTATACACTAAAAGATGGAGGATGTTTAAAAGCTGCAAAAGCATGTGAATCAACTAATTACTATGATTTTGATGCTAATAAGTAAGTAGAATAGATGAAAAGTATAAAATTTTATAATTGAGACAGTTAGTGGAACAAGCAGCGGCAACCTGATTGACGAATATGTTTATAAATTTTTTATGAAACATCTTAAAGTCATGTATTCTTTTATAGATGTCGCTGGTGTGATAGCCGTTGTTTAACATGCAATGGTCCTGGAAGTGATCAATGTACCAGTTGCAATCAAGAGGCAAATTCAAAATATCGATATATTCAACAACACTCATGTGTTAAAACATGTTCACCAGGTGACCATTTTGAAATATAAAACAACAGTTGATTTTAGATTTATATTTTAATTTTATGATTAATCTCTTCATACACACAATATGTGAGCGATACAATGAAATATCAATCTGAAATCCACTGTAGTTTTATGATCATGTTTACTCAGGAATATTAATTACTCTAATATTTTAGGTTATTTTCTCTCATCGACGACCTGTTTGCCATGTTATGATACTTGTGTCAGTTGTACATCAGCGCTTGAAAATTCATGCACAGAATGTAAATTAGGTGAGTGCAAATTATAGTAAAAATATGAGACTACAAAATGTAGTTTCAGTGTAAAACAACTAAGTAAAATTATTAATTTCTGTATCTCATAATTTAGGCTACGTATTAATAAACAATAAATGTGAAAAAAACGCTGGTAAACCGTTTTATATTGATCAAAAAACACATCAATCTCATTCGTGTCATTCGTCTTGTCTACTTTGTAATGGTTCAAAACCAAATCATTGCATTGCTTGTGCCAATAATAAAATATTAGCACATGATGGCTATTGTATTGATAACTGTCCAGAAGGTTACTATGTCGAAAAAGCTGAAACGTTGTCTTATACCACAAACACATGCAGATCGTGTCAACACGGATGTACAAGTTGCACAGATAAATCGACGTGTAAACAATGCGACTGGAACTATGAGATAAAAAACGATCAATGTTATCCAAGATGTGGAACCGAGTACGTATCCAGTTGTTTAGACTTGTGAAGGTTCATTATTATATATATACTGGTAATGAACTCATTTACGATTTATTTCAAGTATAGTCTTTCTATCACGAGAACAAACTGATCAAGCAGAATATTGTAGAGTAATTTCTCAATATTCAACATGAAAATCTATCTTTTTTCATAGTTTCTATATTTAAATCTATTAGAAATATGTGCGTGAAAGAATATTTTTATTATAGGCAATATTTATCAGGTACTGATTGCCAACAATGTGAATCTCCTTGCCGTGAATGTTCAAATGAAACATACTGTTTGTCGTGCAGAAACAATTTATTTTTACTTAATGGTACATGCGTTCCGAAATGTCCCGATAATTATTATTCAGCCGAATCTAAATGTGAATTATGTCATCCAATGTGTGATACTTGTACTGGTAAAGTTTTCAACAGTTTTAAATTCATTTTTCTTTATACTTTTTGTACATTTATTATTTAGGTTCGACTGAACTCGATTGTAAAACATGTACCGAAGGATTTACAATGATCAATAATAAATGTATTAGTGATTGTCTCAATGACGCCTATTACTGTAAAGTTGATAAGGTAAGCGCAGTAAACATAGGCGTTCACTAAAGATGTAGCCGTCACAGTTTAAATAATAAACGTCAACAGTATCTCTTCAGTTGAACTTCTGAACTATCAATTTTTGCTCTGAAAATTCATTCATGTTAAATATGGTTGTAAAATATATGACGACTCGACGTGAATGGCAATTTTTGCAAAGACTATTGTAAATTTATCTTTAATGAATAAAACTGGTCACTGATTAAACATTTTTAAATGAGTGACATCTTCATTTTTTCGATAAACTCTTGGTTTATATGGGTGAAGACTTCTTACCAGTCAAAAATGTTTGATATTAACAACTGTTAACTGATGAGATACCGTTAGATAGAACTTTGACGGCAAAATTGTTGCCATTTCCGTTCAAATATTTGACGATGTTAACGTGAACGGCTCCACTCCTAGTGTTTACACGAATATCTAGCTTGTTTTTGTTTTCTCATAGGTTTGTAAACTATGTTCCGAAAATTGTTTGCAATGTTTATATCCTGGTACATATTGCCGCGATTGTGTTTATCCAATGGCATTAAATATGTTTACACATCGTTGTTTATCGTGTTGTTTAACAAATATAACAGATGAAAACTGTTGTCAATGTCCACAGTCTTATGATGGTGAGACAATTAGTCATTTGTATCTTCTATTTCTTAAACATATCGTCGAATATATTTAGGTTTGTGTTTGCATCCATTGGTTAAACCAGAGATATCAAGTGACATACTTTCAGTATTAACAAAAATTCAAAATAAATTTAAAACTCTTGATCATACATTTCAGACAATAATTTTTATTTGTCTATTAATTTTCATATTTGTGTTCAGTATTTGTTCTATCTGTCTTTTATATCGTCTATTTTCAAAACGTTTACCTTCAAAACATATCGCGAATCATTCATCAAATATTCAATATAAAATGTTGAATAATAACGATGATATTGACGAAGATGATAATGAAGAACAAGAATGTTTTTCAGCTGATAAATATGAAATATTAAATAATGATAATAGACGAAAATTATTAAAACATAATGTTATTGAATTAAAATCAACATCAAATGCTAATAATAAAGAGCAACATTCTGATGATTTATCAATGAAATCAACATTGACAGATAGTTCAAATTTAACAATTGATATGTTAAAATCGACTAAGAACAATGTACTTGTACCGACAGAATCTATTATATCGATTAATAGTAGATGATCTAAAAATCGAGAGTTAATTATTTCTGTTATTGTTATTGGTTTTCCATTCCTCTATTACAGTGAATTTTTACTGTTTCTTCGTCTCATATCATTCCATTATTCTCTGTAATATTTTTGATTTTCTGTACAAAGACAATCAGAAACATGACGACGATGAACACATATATTTATTTTTATAACATTGTCTTTCATTTGTCACTGTTTTTTTTTGTTTTTTTCATAAGTTTTTATAACTATCATAGTGAAATATCATTTTCATTTCAATAATATCTCTTGTACTTTGTGGTTGCTTTAACTTTACAACGACCATTTCTCTAGACTACTTCATTGACTCTGCGTATACTTCTTAATAATATTTTTTTTTCGAATTATTTCATTATTTTTCTAATTCTAATTTATTTAGTGTCTTTATTTCATTTTCTCATTTTTCCGGTGTTTTGTCTGAACTTTCATCTCATTTGTTACGAGTATATTCTTTTCAATTACTAAAGTTATCATTTTTATTTTCCGTTTGTTCATGGTAGTGGGAGATAATCTATGTGTATTTTGTGATCGTTATTATGTTCTTATCCTGTTTTCAATTTGTTTTCCTTGTACTTTCATGTACTTTTATTGGTATCTTATTGTTTTATAACAATTATTGTATTTAACACATGAAAAACAAAAGCATAATCACTATGTGTATCTAAAAATGTAAACTGAATTCAAGTAAAATATTTCTTTAGATCATTACAAAAAACAAATCAGACTTCAAGTATCTCTCATAGATTAGTCGAACATTATGTTTTTTTTCCTGTATCTTACGTAATACCTAAACAAATAATATCTAGTTTGATGTTAGTAATATGATGCTGTTGTGTTTTATCTACCTTGACTACTAATGTTGAGATACTTTGTAAAATAAATGTCAAATATAGAATATACGATCGGTTGTTTTTTAAACTTATATATTCGCTGTTGAAAAATTTATGATATTTGAACAAAAATTGTTTGAGAAACAAGTATACGTTTTAAAACAGAAAACCCAATAAAAAAGTTATAACATATTAAAAAATCGAAAGTTAAATTAGTAAAACAAAAATAATTATACATAAAAACTATCCTGAACTACATCTTAAACTGAAAACTACAGTACATCAAACATTGGAAGAAGTAAACATATATGAAAAAGAAAAGAAAAAAGAATTGCACATTAATATAAAATGGCTATGAAAAAATTTTCTTGTATTTTATTTTCTTATGTTCCATCAGATAAATGACCATTGTTATTATCGGATAATGCCAATCCATTGTGAGAACGTGATGTTATAGCTGAATTTAAATTAAATAATGAACTTGATTGTTGTCTAATAAAAGAAAAAACATATCATTTAAGACAATAATATAAAGAATATATATAGTGGAATCGAACCTAAAAGGTGATGATGAATAATGATGATCATTGGTAAGAGCTAATCGTTCACGAACTAATTGTTTCGCTGTCTAAATAAAAAAAATGTCTCTTTTATAGTAAATTGTAATAATAATGTTTATTTTTCTCTTACTCTTCTTGATGCTTCAACTGCTTGTTTTTCAGCTTCTCCTAAACGTTCTTCCAATGTTTTCAATCGATTTGTATTTGATAATAACATTCTTGATGTCTACAAATCATGATGTAAAATGAATGTAAAATAATAAAAAAAAAAGAGTATGTCAAAGACATATGTACCGTACCGCTGCTTCTTTTCGTTTAACGTCCGCTATTTCAGACTGTAATTGATTATTTCGATTTTTTAAATTATCAATATTTTGACGAAATTCATTTATTTTCATTTCACTTTGAGCTGTAATTGTATGACATTCTTCTTTATATCTTAATATGAAATGAGAAAAAAATGAGCTTAAAATAATTAAAGTTTTACAGAAAAACATACTTGACAATCATTCTCTGTTGTCGATTGACAAGATTTCTTAATTCATTGAATGTTGCTCCATTAATATTATCTCGTTCTGTTAAACGATTTAAACATTCTTTTTCTCTTTCAATTAATTGTTCCTCATGTCTTTTTACCTTTAAATATAAATTTAAATTAACAAATTCTTTAATTGATACTTTTTTTTTAAAAAATAATAAATACCAAATCTGTCATTCGTCGTTGTAATAAATTTTGTTCAGTTTGAGCATTTGATAATTTCTTTTTTAATTCATTTAATTCATTTAGTGTCATTGTATGATCTCGACTCATATTATCTAAATCAATTGTTACTTTTTCTAGTCGTTCATTTAACTCTTTTTGTTTTAATAAAGATTTAGATTGTTCAGTTTCAAAACTAAAAAATTGATCAATAAAATTTTTGTTTTGATATTTAATTTAAAAACAAAATACTTACGAATGTTGAGCAATTTTTTGAGAATGTTGTAATTGTTCGAGTTTTGTTAGTGCATCATCACGTTCACGTTCACCATTAAAACATCGTTTAGCCAAATCTTCATTGACATATGAATTATTTTCAATTTGTCGCCGACGTTCTTGTAACGCCTATAAAAATATTTGATAATTTTTTTTATATTCTCTTACTAAAAAAAGCAAAAATTACTTTATCGAGTTCTTCTTCTGCTAAACGTTTAGCTCTGAGACACTTTTCAAATTCAGCTTGTTTATGTTCAAGTTCCTGAATTAAAAAAAATATATATATGAACTTGTTTATTCTACATTATAGAGCTCGAAACGAATCGAATGATTGGACATTCGGTTCGATTCAGCAAGCAGTCGAATCGAACCGAATTTAATGTTTGAAACACAAATCAATCGCTGAGTTAAAATGCTTTGATCAAGCTAAACTACAATGACATCATATAAAGTAACAAAAGTACCACACAATACAATTTTGTCCTTTTTTTCTGTTATAACGCTCAAAAACATATAATCGCGTTAGAAAGAGAAGCATATAATATCTTTTACCGAGTTATTAAGACATCTAATCAAATTTATTTTCAAATATAGAGTTTCTGAGAACATCAGAATGAATGTCGCGCATAATTGACATTCTCTTATTTTTTGATCATTAAGGTTGAGATCTTTTTAATTTCTTGTAGTTAGCTGCGGTTGTGACGAGAAATTTTGTTCGAGAAGAAACTCAAAGAAGCGCTAAAATTGTTAATCAACATTGCTCAAGCTTATACTGAAAAAAAATGGTAGAGTGCGGAACTTAAAAAGGTTTCGAGAATTGAAATCATTTCTAAACCCTTTTTAAGCTTCGTAGATTCGTACGATACATAAAAAGGGTTTAGAAATGGTTTCAATTCTCGAAATCCTTGTTTTCTTTTCCAGTGTAGACCCATCGAGTGTCAACAACATATTATTTTTATGTTCGATAGAAAATAATAAATGGAAAGACTAATGCAAACAAGACATTTCTTGTTTATATTCTTCTTCTTGTTTGTTTTGTTTTATTTCATGTTTCATAATTCTAGTCACATAAATGATATATTTTGCTTAGGTATGCACCAGTTACAGTTACAGTTACCAGCAGTTTTACAAGTACAGTTAACTGGTAAAAAACTGTAATTGGTGCATACCTAATTCTACTCAAGTGCTCCAACTCGAGGCACTATATTTTAAACAAACGTTTGGAAACAAGAGAGAAGCAAGCTTTGATTTTCATTGAACTGACCCGAATCAAATCGAACCGATTCAGGATTTATTGATTTGTTTCGGGCTCTGGTACATAACAGGAAAAAAATATAATGAATGAAATTAAAACAAACCGATTCCATCTGAGTATATTCTTGCATTAATTTTTCTAAATTCTGATTATATTGTTGTCTAACTTGTTCTACCTAAATAGAAAAATCTTTACTTTTTATCATTATATCATACATTTATTAATCGTAAAAAGAAAACTTACAGCAATTTTTGTTTTATTTGCTGCTTGTTCGATTAATTCATCGATAGTTCGATGAAGTCGATCGTGATCTTCTTTGCCTTGTCGTTCACGAGCTACAGCCTTAACATAAACATTATCTCTAGGAAATAATTCGAACAGAGAAAAAAGAAAACATATAATTTTTTATTGTACATACAAATTGATTTTCATTTAGAGCTATTCCTTGTAGATGAGCATTTTCTTGAAGGTGATTAATAGCGTCTGATAGTTTTATTTCTAAAGAGCGACTAAAAAAATAAATAAAATGAAAATGAAAATAACTTTTATTTTTTCAAGTAATTAAACTTGATATTCATTTACTTTTCTAGTGTCATTTCTTTTAGTTTTGCATCTAATTCATCTTGTTGTTTTCTGGCGAGCTCTTTTTCCTTTAATGCATTTTCCAATCTAAAACAAAATAGAAATGAATAAATAAAATTCAAGTTCAATATCATCACCCCTTACGATCAGCAAAATTCACGGAACAATTTTGACTATTTGATTATTAAGAATGAGATCTAGCTCGGAGCTACGAAACATAGTTTATTCATATGTATTCTTCTCAATGAAAGATTATTCATTTAGAAATATAACTTTGAATGATTTTTCAATATCAAATTCTTACAGAAATATTATACAATCGCAAAACTAACGTTCATCAATTCTATGCTTGTATTATTTATGATTTTTTTTTTCTTTTATACTTGCCTAACTTCGAGAGTATCAATAGAATTTTGAAGTGCAACAAACGTTCCATCATAACCTAGTTCTTTTTTCAATGCATTACGTAGATCATCTTCCTACAACACATAAATAAAGTGAAAGAAGAAAATTATTCGATTACTTAAATCATAACAACTTACTTTTTGAAAAACTTGTGTTCGTAATACTTCATTATTTGTCTCCAATTCTTTCACTAATAATTGTGAATTAACTAAATCTTTGCTTCTTTTTCTGAAAGAAAAATAAAAAATAAAATATCCATTTTTGCTGTATTTAAAATTATTAAATAATAATCATAAAAAAATACGTACGATAACTCTTCTCGAATCAAATTCATTTCTTGTACAAGTTCTATTTCTTCTCTTGCATGTTGTTCTTGTATCTAAAAGTAAAAACATATATTTTCTAAATGAAAAATAATGACATTAAACTTAAATTTACTTGACGACTTTGCATGTCTAATTTCAATAAGTGTGGCTTCAATGGATCTTTCAAATCCTTGAAAACAAAAATAATAAGGTACATTTTAACTGAAAATTTTAGATTAATCTATTTACATTCACTTCTTGTTCTAAACGTAAAACCATTTCTTGACTTTGTTTGCACAATTTCATTGTATCATCTTTTTCCTGAAAAATAGAATAAAGAGTTACATACAATAGACATTAACGAGTAAAGTCGTAGCGAAAATTTTTGTCCTAAATATCTACGTCTTTATTGTTATATAACTTAAAATATAAATACTTGTTCAAGAAGATTTATTTGTGTTTTTTGTAATTCGATAATATTTTCATTATTATTAACAGCATCTGGACTGATTCCAACCAATTTTTCTTCAATTGTTTTCTTTAACTGTCGACGTAAACTTAAAATAAACAAAATGTAAAACAGCTGTTCTTTGTATATTCATTTAGTTTTGTTGTAATTTACTCTTTATTTTCTTCTGTAACAACATTTATTTGAGATCGTAAACTTTCAAGTTCTGTCTATAAGAAAATTAGACAATTTGTAGATGTTTTTGTAATATTAATATTCTTACTTGAAACGAATTTAGTTTAGTTTGTATATTTGCACTCTCTCTCTCTACTTCAGATGCACTGGGATTCATCTACAACAAAAAAATACGTCATATAAACAGAATTTTCTTGAAAATAATGAACATTCTTTTTCGGAAAATGTGTACGAATGAACTTGGTTTTCTCACTCAACTAACATTTTTTGGCACTTGTACACAATCACATCTTATATTGTAGGTATGTGTGAGAGTGTGAGGGTGCCGTCTGGACAAGCACCCGTTTTTGCAAATACTCCTTTCATGTCAATTAATATACAGGAAAAATTAGATCTCGGTTGGGGCTGCCTTTCAATCAAAATGATTTGATTTATAAGGTTCAATTTTAACCATAAGCAAGTGTTCCAGCTTTAGAACTAAAAGTAAAGTTAAATTCTAGTCTCTAATGTTAACTAGGCTAGTGAAAGGTCTCCTTATATAAACATAAATGTGCAATATATCGTTAAAGAAAAGTTGACATGAGAAAGGAGCATACCTAAGCAGCAGCCTCTACAAATACGATATCAGTAATCTGATTAGATACGAAAAGGCCAATTGATGTTCTACTTATGTGGCGCGAGTGCCATCAACTGAAATGAGTATATGAATCGCTAGCTTCGATGAGAGAGACAATGGTAGAAAAAACGGCTGAATGTAGATGAGGCTCAAAATATCTTCCCTATCCATCGAATTTTGATCGAAGTGTTACGAAGAATAAAAGCCTATCTTATTTTGAATACAAATAAAATAATAAGTGAATTAATAAAAAAGAGAAATGACCGCAAATTTATTTATTTTTTGTTGTTATCTTCGATGAAAACTGGGATAAATACTATTCAAGTCAGGAGAATCCATTCTTTTATCTGTATATATGAGTCAAACCGCGTATTTTAACGATCTGGTAAATCCAAAAATACGTGACATGAATCTACAGAATCCGCCGTCTCTAGTTGACAGTAGCTGTTCATTGTCATTAAAGTTTTTCATGACTATGGGAGAGTTTATTTTAGCACTAAGAATTGATAGGGAAACTAGAAGTAAGCGTCTTAAAAATCATTACAACGACGTGGTGAATTTAGAAAATATTTTCGGTGCTGATGAAATTGAAAAAAACATAGTCTAGAAAACTTCGCATGGGGGATTGATGAGTTTCTATAGGCAAGATACTATGAAATCAAAATTTTTATAGTAGCTTGCCTGAAAAAAAGCCTCTGTTATAACGATTTTCAAGACGTTCAGAAAAATATATGTTTCTGAACTTTAAACTTGAGCTACAGAGAATCTTTTCGTTCATCATACACGAAACCATCAATAGTAGTGAATTTTTATCTCTATTTCTTATAAGAGTCTGACAATAGCCAAAATATAAGTTATCTGAATTGATTTTGTAATGAGGTAATATTTTAACAATCAGATCGGGAAAGACAACACTTTATGCGAACTATATGATAGAGAAATGCGTAAAAAAATGGAAGAAGCATTCTAAAATTATTTTAAACTAAACGCCTTGTTGTTTGTTTTAATTCTTAAACTAAATAAAAAGCGTAAATAAAAACTAAAAATTAATTATGCTATTATCTCTACTTAACCGTATGAACAAGAATTTTTGTTTCATTTCGAAATTTTCTAGTCCTACAATTCAAACTCATTGTATTATTCTAATAACACGACCATCGTAAATCTAAAAGCGATAAAATACTTGATAAACACAAATAGAGTATTATGGAGTTAAAAATCATACTTCTAAAATTTTCTTCCTACGTTTGAGAGTCTCAGCAGTCATTGATCGGAAAACCCTGCTATTGAACATGATGGTAGATCGAACATTTTCTACACAACTGAAAGTGTTGGCTGGTTACATCATAGTGGGCAATCACGTGGACATTTGGAAAAATTTCAAAAGTGAGATACATATACAGCCTGATATACTTTCGGACGGGTTCTGTTTTAAGGGCCTAATAATAACTGTTTTCAAATCCCATGATTCATCGGAAAATACTTAGCCAAAAACTAGCCTGAAATACCGATGTTTTAAGGAAAAAGTTCTTTTTCTTCAATGGGCTAATCCTAGATTTAAAAGCCGTACAGATTCTGAAGCTAGACACCTTAGACTATGTTTTGGTGCAAAATTTTCTTAGTTCAGTCTTATAGCTAACGAGAAAAATGTATCGTTCAGACTAACAATGTTTCCTGACTACTATGATTACTAAAATGTGAAATCCACCCGCATTCATTTTTCAAACACGCTCAAACTTGGCCAAAATCTTCTACAGACTATGCTGAATCAATACAGTTAGCACAAACGTTTCTAAAATTGCTCGGCATGTTTTCCAAAAACCATGATCTTTCAGGTGAAAACTGATTTTCTCGGCTCAGAAACTCTTTTAAGAAAAAATAAGATAATATTCGGATCACCACTTAAAACTGCATTGAATACTGTATAAGAAATCATATTTTGAAAGAAAAAATAATTAGATGAAAAATATGGGCAAGGGTCCCCCTCAACTGTTTTTGATCGAAAAAGCTTTTTTCGAAAATCGATTTTTTCGTTAAAAACCATTCTCCGAATTTTAGACTACTGTTTCGGCAAAGAAAAACCGTTTCTGACCAGAAAAGGCCCCATATCCACGTGGCGTGGCAAAATTGCCCACTGTATCCATATTGTTTTTTACAAAATTTATTTTATGATTCTATATCTCTACAAATGTTGTCTAAAATTTCAAGCAAACTTTTTGTTTCTATGTATAATGTTAAATAGCACAACTTATATAATAAAATCTTCTACTTCTATATCTTTGAATAGCGCTTGCTAACCTTGCCAGATCAGAAAAAAAAGCTATCATGAGCCTACTCAGATTAAGCCTAGAATTTGTAACATAATTTTATCATATAAACAGAAAGTCTTGCCAATTAACGCGAGATGCATTTTGCGAAGTCACACCCACAAAAAAATTGAACAACTCCAGATTTTCAAGGCTAACCAGTAATAGATAGAGACATCTCAGCAGTGGAAAGCAATCGGTCCTCTTGCCTTCAGGAAATTTTTATTTCGAATTTTCCATCCACAGTTGATTCTGGAGTCAAAAGTAAGAACAGATCTCAAGAACTGAGAGTACGGAAGTAATAGAAATAAACATTACTTTTGTTCTAAAGTTAAAACTACATCCAGCACGTTTTAGTCTCACTTGAAAAAAAACTGAAATTTATTCCGAAGTATTCTCTACTCTATGCCTCGCGGCGCCATTACCGATAGGCTGAAAATCAAAGGTCGTGAAATTCGTTTAACTATGACCATTAATAAAAGAACTGATAATCAACTTTTCTGCGCATATGACATTAGTCCCATGCAGCAGATTTGGAATCTTTTATGCACAGCTACATGTTATTAGATATTCTAGATAAAGGGAGAAAAACTCAACCAAATTAACTACTATGAGCCAAAATGTTGTGCTATTTAGTATTATGTATTTAACATTGTGCGCAGAAATAAAAAGTTTGCTTGAAATTTTGGGCAACATTTGTAGAGAAGCAGACTCATAAAATAAATTTTGTAAAAAATAATATGGACACGCACCGCACCATCTTTTTTCGTTATTTCCCTTTACTTGACTAGTTATGTAAGACACTCATTTAGAAATGATCGAAACTATGAAGTGGCTATTCTTGACAAAAATTTTCCTATCCATGTTTCTCGTTTATACTTTTGATACAAGAAGTCATTTTGTCCGTTCATAAATACTGTTACTAATCAGAGTGTCATCGACAAGAAAAATATCTATACTGTATCAGTTTAATCTGTTATAATCTGTACTTTAATTTTTTTCGGTCATTTGAGGGGACGGAAACATTCTGCCTCTGTTTTCTTAGCTTAGAGCACGGACAGTGTCGATTTAAAGGTAAATGAATTTCAATATATTATTTTCAAATCTTTCATAAACTTAGCTATAGTCCGATGTGCAAAACAGAGTTATGTTCAACTACGGCGTAAAGGCTAATGGTATTCGGAGATCCAAACAATATATTTGTCAAGATCTTAGAGTAGAATCGCCATTCATAAATGTCTCATTAGTGGTATGATAAGCGTTTGAATATTACTGAGCCTGCCGGAGGATATAAATCTCCTGCTAATTAATGATCGATGTTGAATAATAATTCTATTTGCTAATTTATTCAAATGAGCTAAATTAGTTTAGCATCTCTATTTTCACTAAGTCTGTAGATTTCGTTGTTTGTTTGTTTGTTTTACGTATAAAGTAGAAGCCAATATTCCTTGATATGTCACATTCTATTTATTTACGTATAACCGTTCAATGTCATATTTATTGAGAAATATTAATTTATCTATGATTTGTACAATTCTTTTCACACACTATATATTTTTGTATGAAACTGTTCAGTAATATGATATGAGCTGTGTGTCGGAATAATCAATATATAAAAGATAACATACACGGAAGAAAATCTTTTTCTCGTTATGCAATAAATATTATAGATAGATAGATATGGTCAAGCAGTCAGTCAGTCATTCGTTTCTTGTTCTTTTTTTTTTCCTAATAATAATGATGACCATTTGTATATACTGGGTTACATCCCGACAAAAGAATTACGATGATTGCATATATTATTAACAGCAGCCACTAGTTATTTGGCTGAAGATCAAAGTTAGAATTCGATCTATAAATATGATTTACATATACGTAGAGTTATATATATATAAATACATATATAGTTATGTATGACAGGATACAAGAAAATTTCGAATACATACTAGAATGATAACAAATGTAAGTGTGTCTGTCAATTAAATGAACTTTCCTTTATTTATGAAGGTTTTTAATTTAATCATAATATTGTGCAGTTTTATCAGATATATTTCATACTTTATAGATATCTAAATTTATTACAATTATTTACATTAATAAATATATATGTTTTCTTGTCTCTACAGAAATATTCTACTATAATATTCATAATAAATCAATTTTTTCGAACTTGTCGAAAGAAAATTTTATATAAAAATTCAGACGAAGTTTAAAATCCTTTATTATTAGTTGATGTCTTACACAATATGTTCGATACAATTCGACGAAAATTTAGCCGAAATAGTCAAAGAAAACAAAGGTATGATCTATTCAAATTTGATGTAGTGTGGAGAAAATCTAGTGAAAAATCTCCAATTTATTGAAGGAATTTTTAGTATCATAAAAACCTGTTAAGATCATCCAATAAGACTGAGTTTTTGTATTTGATGAATATTACCAATATCTCATCAATTAAAAATCTTTGACCTATATTCTACTATTTTAAGATCTGTTGGTGCAGCAAGTGTAATTAGTGATGGAACAGATTCATTAAGTGAAGATTTTAAAAGTATACAAAACTCAATCTCTTCAATACATAAAACATCCTCTATTATATTAAAAAGGTATGTATTCATCTTATTTATTCATTGCTCAGTAACATCGTTTTTATTTATTGTAGTTTTGCACCACAAACATTGTCAATAACTACATCAAATTCGTGCATCGATGAAAATAGTCCATGGTTTTACAACAATATAACTAGGTTTGAAAAAAAGACTACATCATAATATGAAATAGAATAATAATCAGTTGTTGTTGTTGTTTTTTGTTTCTCTCTAGACAAAGTGTTGAATTGGCTTTAAAAGTTCGTTCTGTTGGCAGTTTTATTCTCCGAAATAGTTCGTCATCCCCCAATTCGATGGTATTATCTGTTCGAGTACCAAAGTATATCAAAAAATCTTTAGTTGTTCATTATCTGATTGATTATGATAGAGATGGATGCAAGTTACGAGGGACAAAAAAGTTATTCACAACATTATCTGCATTAATTGTACATCATTCAATTGTAACAGAAAATCTTCCTGTAGCACTTGATTTACGGCAATATTATCCCGAATCCAGTCAATCGAAAGAATATTCCGATTATCTTACGTGATGTAATTAGAATATCGTTCATGAAAGAATTCGTAATTTAAATTAAAACAACGATAACATTGTCGATTTAATAATTTTACTTTCTCACACTACTGTTTGATGAAATTAAAAAATTAAATTTCAATTTTTTCATTACAATCTATATAAATATGTTAAAAGCGATGGTCTAAATAATCTAAAACTACTTGAGAGATATTGAACAGATGAAAAATGTGTGTACACAAAATTCACGAATAATAGTTTCTTATTCCTGAATGAAAATTTTACTTTTAATCAGAAGCTATTTATTTGTTAGACATTTGAAAATCTATCTGAACAATCTGTCTTGGAGCCATTACCTTTCAGACCTACTTCTACACCTATTTCTGTTGTTCAAGTAGAGCGATCTCGTATTGATTCGAAACAGACTGATTTTATTAAAAGCTATTACAAATCTATAATTCCTAATTGTTTTTAAGTTTTTTTTCCTTCATTAACCTACAAATCATCTTAAGTGTTTGCTACAGGACCAAACTTTTCTCAACCAATATATAATAATATACTCAACTTATTATACAAACATCTATGTTTAATTCTATAAATAATCGTATTTTCAACAAATATATATTTTATTTTATATCACAAATAAATCTGGTATGAAAACAAACAAAAGTAAAAATGAGTAGAATTTGTAATGCGAAAATAATGTAAAAAATAATGAGTTCAATAAAATAAACCAGCGAAATACAAGATAAATAATAAAATATCTGACCTAGTCATAACACAATATGAGATCTGACTATTTCTAGTTAAAACTACTATCATCTTCATCGTCTATAAGAGTATTGTTATTCAGTGCATTATTTGACTGTTGCTGAAGTTGTCTACGCGGCCTTCTTAAACGTTCAATTGGTACTGTAGGACTTCTTACACCGCCATAGCCACGTTCTAGACATGTTTGTGTATTTGGTACACCCAATGACCAAAAATGTTGAGGCGTTATTATAGCCGATTGTTGTCGATGTTTACATTGAAAATTATTTTTCAATTGATCCGGTAAACAGATACGATAATCCCAACACGACTTACAAATATGTAGTAAATCATCACCGTCACCGTCATGATCATTTTTTGGATTTGAAGTTGCTGTTGATTGATTTCGAACATTTTCTGGTATCGTCGTAGTACCATTTTCATCGAGTGATCGCGATGGTATCTTGTGGGTAATTGTCTTATCATCAGAATCAGATTTAATAGATGATATTTGATTTCGATTTTCTTTAAAACCGTCTCGTTCTTCGACATGTTGATTACTTTCTAATGATAATGGTATCAATGATTTATCAAATGTAAAATAAGAATTTTCCATTACGTGATTTAATATCGGCATATTCTATAGAAAAAAACATAAATAACAACTGACTTTATAGGTAACTTCATCTCGTATACTATTGTATCTTGTCCCACACTAGTAAACACTTCGATAAACATGAATAAATAAAAAGATAGTTCCCAACAATTATAACAGTCTTAGTTAACGTTTTTTTACTAGCTAATGCAAAAACTTAATTCAACGCTCTGTCATCTGTTGGACTATAACAGTTGTTGACTTTTACTTAGACTAATTTCCCAGTAAACCGTTCTCACACTGAATGTTTCAAATCCAAGAATAGAAAACGCGTTTACAATCTTTTACCTGATTTCCATCTATATCCATTTGCTCACTGGCGGGTTGTTGCTGTTCCAGCAATGATGGTGCTGCTGGTTGTTCTGGTGAAGATATTACGAGTGGAGAATCATTCGTAGACCGTGATGTTTCATCCGACAACATAATTATTGATTGTTGCGGTTGCTGTTGTTCATTATTAGTTGCCGTTAAAGCGCATTTTTTTATTACTAGCAAAGGTGATGCGAGTTGTGATTGTTGTACACATGGTGCAGATTTTTCAAGTTTGTCAAATACTTGTGTCATTGTTGTTTGTCTTAGAGGACGTGATGTTGATGCTTTTCTC